TTTGCACGTGTTGCCGGTCATCACCTTGCACTGTTTCCTTTAGAGAAGCGCCAAGCATCGTTCGCTAAAATGATTGTGAAGTACAACGAAAAACTTCCCTCGGGCCTCACTCCTGCATCTAAAACATCGATACCCCCTTGGTGTCGTATTCGACCCACAGTGCATCTGGTGTACCAGGGATCCAAAGGAACATCGCCCGTGCTGAAACAACTGTCTCTTCTTCTTTTGCACGAGAAATATTCAGACAGTGTACATACATATACCGATGGCTCATTGAACCACCAGTGTTTGTCAGGTGCAGTAGTTATCCCAGCAAGAGCTGTTGCCATCAGCTTTAGGACTGACGACTCCACGGCATCGACAGCAGCAGAACTAGCTGCTTTGCGCGCGGCACTTTGTGTGGTCAATCGGGAACCACCACAACAATGGTCGATTTTCAGCGACTGAAGGGCTGCCCTACAATACGCGCTCTCAGCACTGCGTCGTGGGCCGTAACGAACAGCTTGTTTTTGAAATTCGACGCCTTCTCCACACTTCACACGAGAAAGGGCATCATGTGACGTTTCAGTGGCTGCCATGTCACTGTGACGTCACAGGGAACGAACAGGCCGATACTGCCGCGCGGGCTGCTCTTGAAGGAACACGAGAAGAAGCCACACCACTTTCGTGGACTGATGCTGCCAGTCATCTTCGACGTTTTGCACGTGAAATCACGTTTTCTTTATGGTGCCCACCAAGCAACGAGACGAATCGTCAACACCACACGTCCTCTTTGATGGCTCTCTGCATGTCCACTTGACTCGACCGAAGCGAAGCCACTCTTCTTCATCGCTTATGGCTAGGAGTGACATTTACAAAATCTGATTCATTTGTCATAGCAATGGCCGACAATGCTCTCTGCGATGCCTGTCGTTGCAAAGAGACGCTACACCACATCCTGTGCGACTGTCCGTTGTATGACAACCAGAGACAGTCACTGGCGTCCGTTCTTGCGCGCATCGACAACAGCCAAATGTCTGTGGACACTATTCTTTCAAGTGCCCGAAAGAAGACATTGAAACAGAAGGTGACAAAAGCTCTGGTGAAATTCCTACGCAACACGGACTTGAACAAGCGGCTGTAACAGCAATGTCACACAACGCGAAACACAAGACTGGACTATAACTGAGTGTGCGCGCATGTGCTGTCGAATGTGCTGTGTTTATCTCTCTTCCCTCTCTCCTCTCTATTTTTCATCTCCCCCATCCCCCTCCCATGCGCCGGGCAGCAAACCGGCTGCCTATGGGCTGGTTTACCTCCCCGCCGTTCTTTTCCTCCTATTTTTCTTCCTAGCGCGGTGGTGTTTTATTTACACATTTGCGCGAAAGACAGATATGTTAGTCATGTTAGAATATAAAATCAGTCATGCGTCTGGCGGGTATTCTAAAAAACCACCAGGCCTATGCGGTACGCCCAGCACCATCACAGCAAAAGCTGGAAGAGTGTCCTTTCAGAGCCTTTATAAACACTCGTTGGGTAACTGCTGCAAGTGCACTTTCACGTTACCCACTAGGTTATAAGTCATCGCAATTTTTGTGCAGGCATTCACTATGCCATCCTTAGTCAATCTTTGTTGAAGCATGATACCGGCTACACACTTTTAACAAATTTTGCGCAATTTTTTTTTTGATGCTGTGGCTGACAACGATGAAGAATTATGTCTAGTGCTATTGTAACGTGGTTGTACCGATCGACGACCCATTCCTTACGCAATTCACATTGCGTGATGCCCAACTGTTTATTTGCTGTTCTAAACGCTTTATTACACACATTATTGCGATTTTTTTTCCCGACATGAATCCTGCTTATGGTAAGTTTGCCACGGAGTTTCAAGCACCGGCTTATCTCGGTAGCTGAAATGAAGGGAACCCGAATTTCAATCCCATTGTGTCCTTGGTGTTTTATTTACTTATCTTATTCCTCGCTTTCTGCGATATTGGTTACGGACATCAGTGGCGGCGGACAGGTACGGCGCACGCGACACGCGTTGTGATCTCATAACAGCTTTCATTGCAAATTCATGAATGATAGTTAACCGCTATTCCTCAAAATGAATGCATCGAACAACTGCATTTTATACCTGCACTTACCCGCAAAGCAGAAATCTGGAGCATTTTTTATTATAAAAGGGAAAACTTTCAGCGTCAAATATATGGCATTCCTGCACGATTGCATAAAATTATAAATCTGCGTTTTGCTTCAGTAGTGTTTACTTTGTGTTGTGTATATTTTCAAGCGTAAGCATTCGTTCGGTAATGATTGTAGCACGAAACACGTCGATTATTCGGAGAAGTCATGCATCTGTGACATAAGCACGTGAATCTACGACGGCAGAATTAGTTTACCCAATGAGGTTTGTTCAGAATGCCGGTGCAAAAAGCTGTCGGACCATGCAGTGCTGAAAGAACAAGAAGATGAGTGCAAAAACTAACTTTTTCACCAATACGGTTAATAATCGTTGGTTAAAAATTATCAAAAACAGAACAGCATGTCGAAAGAAATAAAGTAAACGATATGCACAGTGGCGTTAATTATGAGTTGAAATATGCTGGCCTTGACTGAAGAGACTCGAAGGCTAGACAGTAACACTGGCAAACGCGAAACAAGCTTTCCAAATACGGTTAGTTGAAGCAGGGTTTACTTCACTTAATGCGTTACTGATTACGCTGGTACCACCGTGCAGTGCAGGTGCCAACTTGACCCCGCCCAGCACATTGAAACTCATACAAGGCGCGATTGTACCGTGCAAGTTCGACCTGCTAATGTTCTTGCATTGTTCTTTTATTTCCACTTAGTAGTTCTTTCTCATACAAGGTGAGCTAACAAAAAGTAGTCTAACAGAAAATGTCACTAAAGACAATATTACCACAAAGTGATTATTTTTGCGAACAATGATCTATGTTTAAAGCCGGTGTGTATTATAGGACAACTAAGTACTTAACTGTGGTAGCTCACACTAAGGTACTGCTACTTCAAAATGCTCGTAATTTCAGGGAGCGTCACCTGATTGAATTCGTTTTTTAAAGTGATCTTCTTGAGAATTCGTTAGAATTTATGATTGTCGGTTGATAGGCAACCGATAGTAATTATTTAATAATGTTTGCAAGCACATGTCACGTGTGCTGCCATCGATGTCTAGTTAGTTTATGAAGCGTAAACTGGTTTCCGGAAAAGCTTATGTAGTGGGAAATATTTTTTGAGCCTTGATGACACATGACTCCATGTTTTCTTGTTATTTTTTTTGCCCGTGTGCTTCACTTCGCTTTATTTCGAGAGGAATAACGAGAATAACTGCGGCAGTATACGTGATTCGCAGGATTGCAACCAATTCGCAAGCTTTGTGCTACTTTGTAACATTTTTGTGATTTATACGACAGCTCATAAAACGCTCACCTGTCAGACCTTCTGCGCCCCATACCTGGTTTTACAGCGAACGCTGTTAACATTAGCCGATAATATTAGCCGATTGCACAGGTGAAGTAGCCGCTACCATCACGACATCCAGTGTTGGTAGCAAGGTTCACGCATAATGACAAAAACATGTCCGGGATTGAGCGTTTTTGGACCCAGCTACTCCGTGGAGCGTTTGAGCATTTCATTACGGAGCCATGCCGGTGCTTCAAACTCATCTACGTAAGCGCCCTATACAGGCGTCGTGTCGGGTAAGACATCACGTTACATGATCTGATACAGCGTGGCTGAAGAGTAAGCTAACAACCAGTCATCACACAATGCAAACATCGTAACGAGTGGGTTGTCCAATTCTTCGAGCTCATTACAATAGCCTAGACATTATTATTCATTGCCATTGGCTACAGCACCAACAAAATATGCTTTGTTGGTGCTGTAGCTGATGGCGATGAATATTTATGTTAAAACATTAAGTGTATACGCATAATGTCTAACAGATGCGTGGCGGTTACTTTACTGCTTCACAGAATTATGAATAATTGTATGGTGATTGTTTTCTTACTTCCAAAAAATTCTGAGTTGTGGCATGGGGGGGGGGGGGGGAGTAAATTTCAATGAAATTGCATGAATTGTCCCAAGTGTCCTGACAGTGGGCCTTCAAAAGCCCTTCTTCCAGCTTTTGTTACTCTTCTACGCTTTCCGAGCAAGCCTGACGAGTTTTTTTTTTATCATTCTGCAGTAAACCAGAAGTGTAAATAGATGGACTTGTCACCTTCCTCCTCTATTCCGAATTGTATTGTTGCAGGTTATACTCCGTGGGCTTTCCGAACCACGCTCATCCACATGCATTGAGAACCAGAACATTGGTGCTTGGCTGAAGATGCGAAGATCGGGGGATCGAAGGCCAGCCGCGGTGGTTGCTTTTCGGTTGCAGCAAAGCAACAGTGGCCTGTGCGTTGCTCAATGTCAGTGCACGATCCAAAACACCAGCAGCTCACAAACTCCAAAGTCCTCTCCCACGCCGTCTTTCCTAATCATATCATACGTTTACGTCATGAAACCCCAGCGGTTATTACTATAATTTATTATTGCTCCGCATATGCTTCGCTGAACAATTTGTTGCAAGCTTCGATTTCGATTCCTTTTGGTTGGCGTTGAACTCTACAACCGTTCTCGTCCGATGCGTTTGTGTGATGCTTATGGCGTTCGGCTTCTAACTGGATAGCTGCTGGTTGTATCCCAGCTTCTTTGGTCACATTTTGGGGGAGCCGAAATGGTAGCTGCACGGGCGCTGTGCTGTGTCGTTGTACATCAGAGGACACCAAGTGATCGAAATGGCCAGATCTTGGCACTCTGATATTTTTATATAAAAATACTCGGGTATTAGGTCGTAAAACTAGAAATATTTTCCTTATTCCCATTATTCTTATGAGCTTGTACATGAAACGTTGTCAAAACATTAGCACTGTCCCATTGAAACTGAAGCGGCTTTTATGCGTACGGAACAGCAGGAAAAGGTCACAGGCGACGAAATACGAATCGCCATAAGATGTTCATTGTAGTGACGTTTATTAAGCCACATTAAACGACAAACAACGCAGCGATTCACATTTTTGTTCTTCGCTTCAGCAGAACAGCTCAGACCTGGCGAACGCTCCTCGGCTGTTGTCGGTAGTATGGTGGCTCAAGCTCCTGCTTCCAGTGCTGCCAGTTTAGGAAGAAAGCAAGCCTGAAAAAAAAGATAGGTGACACAGGTTTGTTTCCATAGTTTACAACTTTTTTGCCAACGTTGTTTGAATCAACGTTGACCAAAACTGTTGATCGCCAACGTTGAACGTCACGAAGCAAACCACCTCCTTTCGTCCTTACCGCGGGCAATACAATTGTACTTTTCAAAAACTGAAATAAATAAAAACATAACTCGCCGAAAGGTCACTCATGTGCATGACCGCGAAGTGTGTTTAGCTGTTTTGTCTCTTAAGAGAGAGCACGTACCCTATCGTTCCTAACTGTGTGACTGTCCCGTATCTATTGAATGCTTTTTTTTCAGAATGACCACGTCACGCTGTGACGAATATGTTTTCTAAAGACAATGTTGGCTCTGACCTATACGCTATCGTGTCAAATTTACGCCGATACGATCCAAACTGGAGACAGTGGAAACAAAAATATGTACACTTTTTAGCCCCCCCTCCCTCAAAAAAGTCCTGTTTCAATCCACCAGGCATACTGTTCCTAACTATTTTTTTGTTTTTGTCCTATTCTTCATTTTTTTAATAGCGTTGTTGGTTTTTACGATAGTATTATCATCGTGGTGATATCTGGCTCTAAGGTAGCCAGCCAAACAATATTATTTATGTATTATTTACACGTGGCGTAACATTGAGTCGGTCTCGAGCAGCAGTGCAGCTCACACACGAACATCCTACTGCTGAGCGGACTAAGTTAAAGGTGAGCGTGGTGGCTACGCGTTTTTCTTCCAAATGAGAACTTTTAGACTCATCTATATAGGACTGTATATATGTATATATGCTATTTTGCTTTTTCGTTGTTTATTTCCAACAATCAAGTGGAAAGGGGTAGCCGCCGTCAAGCAACGGTGGCATCAACCCCTTCGTTTATTTTTCATTTCACTAAAAAAAGCGTCAGCTTCTTCACCTTCCTGCTGGACGCCTCTGAGGGTATATCCAACTATGCGTCGTTAACGTCAGCGATATAAACGCAACACACCATGTTTTAACTAAGATTGTATGAATGCCCCGCCGCCGTGGTCTAGTCGCTAAGGTTCTCGCCTGCTGACCCGCAGGTCGCGGGATCAAATCCTGGATGCGGCGGCTGCGTTTACGATGGAGGCGGAAATGCTGTAGGCCCATGTGCTAAGATTAGGGTGCACGCTAAAGAACCCCAGGTGGTCGAAATTCCCGGAGCCCTTCACTACGGCGTCTCTCATAATCATATGGTGGTTTTGGGACGTTACACTCTACACATCAGTTATCAAATCAGTCAACATTGTATGAATAATGAAAATCATGTTTCCTATCCCATCATAACGCTTTAGCCCAAAGGGTATCGTGAAATAAGTAGATACATTAATTGTACTGAATACATGAAACGCGAAAAAAAAAACATCGTATTTTGAGAAAAGCCACCTCAGAGAAATGATACAGGTGCTCTATATTTCATGTAACGTGTCTACTCGGAAATCTAGTCATGCCAGTAGACAGACGCAGCGCATCCATCTTTTAGTTTTTCCTGCCATTTCAGAAGTATGATGCATTTTTGTGCACGAAACGTATTTGTCTTTCTGCGGGTCCCTTTTACTAGATTAGTTATTATTTGTAGTATCAAGTGCTTGCATTCTGTAGTCTCCACCCTCCATTGAAAATGTATGAGTGTCTGAGAACATAGACGCATGGCCAGTGTGGGGCCTATGGCAACACAGGCATATGAAGTGGGCAGCATGATGGTCGCGCAAATATATATGTCGAAAAGAAACCAAATATTTAGACAACTCGTAAGAAAAAAAAAGCACTGAGCTCTGCTTCTCAAATAACTCAAATATTTTTATTTAAGTGATTGTATTGACTGATTCGTACTTTTTGTGAGCAACTTAGTTCATTTTAGTATTTTTTACAAACAGTATTTAAACGACCACTCAAGAAACTTACCGGTCATGACAATGTGGAGAATATAGTCCGCGTGAAATAGTGCAAGACAATTCAAGCACTATTTCACTGTAAAAATTTCGGTATGGAAAAAAAGGACTTACACAGTCATCAGTGTGCCAAGCGCTGATGATAGTGAAAACACCTAGCCTGCACAATCAATTTCTGTCAAATTGTCGCTTTTGGATTCCTCCAACTCTCACCCAAATAGGCACAAGTAATCCTACGATAAAGCATTGACCATATTTTGCACTTATTATTTCGTTAGGCAGCTTGATGGTGTTCACGTGGCCATTAATGAACATTGTAAAGAATGCTTTAAATTTCAATTGAAAGAAAGCTTGAGTTTAACTTTTCTTCAAAAGGCAGATGCTAGAAAAAGCATGCAGTATTTTTTTCGGTATGTCAGGTGGCCGTCATTTTTACCACCGTTTTTTGCTGTAATAATGACACAGTGAACAGAGAAAAAACAACCTCATGGAACCTCCAGAAATTATTGGACATCTTTTTTCACCAAGTGTTTTTCTTTTCGCTTGCTCGGAAGTTCTTTCTGTAGTACCGTGTTAGTGACCACGAATATGAATCGAGAAAATCCCTGGCTTAACATCTGGCTAAATCTCTGGCTTACACCTGCTAGTTGTTTTCTTGGCTTTAAGATATACGCATGCTTGTCCGTACTTATCCCCATCACACATTGTTAAGCACCCCCACATTATACGTACCTTAATGGCGTCGTAGACTGCGCTTTCTTTTTCAGTCGGTGGTGTTGATTCCTGCATTTCGAATGACACGTTGTTCAGTAAGGCAGCGTTCAGACAGCAGTCGCATATATCGTTAGTGTCGTATCACTCAACAGCTGTATCCTCTGTTTGCGTAGATAAAAGGGACCACGTTTGTCCACAAAGGTCTTTTCATTAGAACGCGTTTTTTCACGACGTGCCAATCACCACTGTGTATAGGCGTTGCGTCCTCGCTAACGTTGCACCTAAGCAAGGTTCGAGTATTTGCACATGGTGTGGGCAGGTTGAGCTAAAAGGAAGATGCGACGAGCTCTTCTATTGTTCGCAAGCCTTCTAATCCGACCAAACAACCGCATAGACATGTTACTACATGGCTTTCAAGACGCGTATCAAGATGCGTAATCTGTGAAGGCTGGAAGCCTTGTGAACGGAAAGTGAAAATTGAAAATGCATTTCCCGTCGGTCGCACGGAATAGTCACATCAGTATTTATCGTAAAAGTCGCGTGCCCGGCTACATTCATTGATTTACTTCCATTAACGTAAGCTCTCTACGCTATATACAACAGCGTCCAAACAAGCTCATAACGTTGCTTGTGTTTACTCGTACGTTCCTAACCGAGGATATGTACGTAGTGCACCTAGTGTGAACATTGCTTATGAATAAAGAAGCAGCCAAGCGACATGCCGACGATAGGGAAAAGTTTTACTGGCTATGCTTGTATCTCTTGCTGAGTGTGTAGCAATTTATGAAGCAGCATAACAACTACGCTTTGTTGGAAGGGTACTTCATTACAAATCCTGCCTTTTCTACCACCAATGTCTGCTACTACCGCTCATTGGGAAAAAAGAAAAAACTTAACAAGAAAAATGGTGCTCACGAGATATTTTGTCACTACATAAATTGTTCTTCAGAGTGTGAAGTAAAAAATATTTGAGTCAATCATAAATTATGGCCATTTTTATGCTTTGTATACTCCGACGAAGGAAGTCTGACGGCTGCCAGAATAAAGTTAGTGAAAACTCACAATGTCTCCAAAAAATGGATTCCTGTTTTTCCTAGGCCTGCCTGCATGGCACGTTTATTACCTCTTTTTCTTTTTACAATTTCATCTGTGCCATCTTTCCTCAAGTTATCCGACACTGCCATGACATTTTAAAGCATCCACAGTGTTTTTCTATGCTCTCTAACCGAAGATGCCGATCTTGCAGTATTATTCCTTCAGGACTTCAGTCTGTATAATTGTGTTTTGTACGTTACGTAGCGCGCAAAAAGGCTCTAATTGAAACTGATCTGACTGAATGTAGTTCATGCAAACTTTCGTTATAATTAGACAACGTACCTTGAACCGCTTTGAAGCCTCCCTAAAGCATTGGTGTTCCTAAAAAAGAAAGGATAAAACGACAAAACATTACCGTTATTTTTACAAGTTGTTGATAGAAAACTGATTTTCGCATTTTCAGTCACAGTTTCCGCGAAGTTACGTTGTCTTCTTTTTTGCCACTTCTGATTTGTAATAATTCTTAGACAGGTGATTTTTATGACAGCCCGGAACACATCTACTTCATTTTACGATGACTGCATAACTGTTAGCTAAAAATACAATGCCTGCACTCTCAGAGAAAGACACCGTGATGACGGGAAGTGTAGAAAAAAAAAAGCAATTTATTGTGCACACTAAAACTTTGGTCAGTATTTTTTCCAACATGCAACTACGTACTGAACTTTCAAGCAATATACTTAGTCGCAAGTCTCATGCATGTTAGCTGCTATTTAGAGAACGTGATAAAGGCATCGCTAGCGAAGGCGTGCAATTACTCTTTCTACGCCAGAAAGCCCTGAATGATTGAGTAAATATCAATTTCATATGGGGTGGGGGAGGAGATCAAAAGTTCTCCGGTCACGCTCCGATAGGAATACCTGAGATAAAGGCCTGGAAACTTCTGACCCTGCCCCCTGTACACATTCGTGCAATACGCCATTGAATGATTTATTCGCTTAATGACAATGAAAATTTATACTTACAGCGACGTCCCTTTCGGTAGCATCTGCAATGTCAGATTTTGTTGCAGCACACTTTGTTGCCTCCTTGGTTATCGGTACTGTGTACTGAAATGAAATAGTTATATTCTCATAAATTTCTGTCACAGGAACAATGCCTGATGATCAGTGTCAAACAACACACCAGTTGAGTGACATGAGTGGCTCAAACAAGCAACATTGCGTAACTGTAACTGCTGCACCTCGTTTGTGATTTTTTCATGATTACCATTATATCTCTCGAAATTAAATATTCCTAATGCAACTGCTGAAACGAAAATAAATGCTCTAGACAATAAATTAAGAGAGAGAGAGAGAGAGAGAGAGAGAGAGAGAGAGAGAGAGAGAGAGAGAGAGAGAGAGATGAAAAGAAGGCTGGGAGGTTAACCAGATATGGGCATCCGGTTTGATACCAAACCCTGAGGGCGGGGAAATAGGGGCAAGAAAGAGGGTGTATAGAAAAATATATAGAAAGGAGGAGGAGAAAATGCATGTGCAATCAGCAGATACCCACACACGGGAAGGGCATTCTCGCTACAAACGTTCAGAAAGGCTGGTCGATTACAAGAAAAGTGCGCTATAGCGCTTTCAGAACCTTTTTTGTGGCGTTGCGTTCCGGCGATATTGTAAACTCTGTCCTCCGACAGAAGTTTATTATCTAGTATGTTCACTCTGCATTAGGTCATGAAGTCCTGTCGATGCTTCGCAGAACATACACGGTCCCTTTGGGTAAACTGTGGCTAGGCGTTGCGTTTACGCTTTTCGCATTAGGATGGCCGACACCGCAGCTTGTGACCACTGTGGCAACGAAGAAACCATTTGACCTATCTTTAGTGGCTGTTTACGATATAGTGAACGATGACATTGTCTCATAGGTGACAAATCTAAATTCTTTTACTCATAGAATTCAATCAAAATGTTCCTTGGAAATAGAAGAGCGACAATAAAAGATAAAACCATCCTACCGTGAAGTATTGCCCAAGGTTGAAAATATAAAGTGGCTGTTAACTGGACAATGGAGCTTCTAAAAGCGCTGTCAAAACATAAATGGTGACATAACAATGCTCTGCATTGTCAGAAGCCACTCATCATTGCTTTTTCTTGCATTCTTACACTAATCGATTAACTTGAAACGGGGAAGGCAGATGTCGTAACAGGCAGTTGTGTTGCTTGCACTAATGATGCTTTACCTGTCTAATTTGCCTAAACAAATAAGTTCGCAGGCTGAGTACTTGAAATCCGGTAACGGCACTTTTAACTGACTCGTTGTCTGTGTAAAATTGTTTCCTCGTCTGGTGAGGCACCTATACTGGAACTTTTTCAATTACTAAATAACTAGTTCTCTGTCATCTTAGATGAATTCTATTCATCTCGGTTCCGGGCCATAAAGTTCTAGTTTACAACCAAAATAGCTGATTCGTTGCAAGATTGTCTCTCTCCGTGCCGATAATTTTTTGTTTTGCTTTTAGTCGCACGCATCACGGTGGCACGATTTCGCACTCATACAATCAGGCAAAGTTTATCAGACCCAGCACTGACTACTTCTCTGGATTACAAACACCTTTAATTTTCCTGGCGCAGTTATCTGGCTAGTTCAAGGATTATGGAAGTTTCCATCACGAAATCTCCTTCCCGCGTTACCTGCCTCAATTTCCATTTTTGTGGATCAGGCTTACTGAATTCCCTTTTGTGTTTTTTTTTCTTTAATCAGGAAGAAACGATTGGTCAGTTTTTTATATCTTGTCGCCGATTCAAATCATTGAGTTAGAGTATACTGGTACCGCTACTTCAGCAATCGGGCCTGGAAATCTCAGAAGTTGTTCTTCTTTCGTTTGGGGTACTGCTCTGGGGTACAGCCAAAGGGGTGTTGTACTTGCCGTTTAGTAGAATGTCACTTTGACCTAAAGAGTATCCTGCTAAATTAGGCATGCATGCATGCTATATTTGTGCCTTAAATACAATTACAATATTTACAGTACTTAACTAGTATACCTAAGCATAATATAATGCTGCAATTATGGGAAAAATTCTTATTCTCCTCGGCGAAGCCCCACCAATGGTGATGTACCTCGTGCGTGTTTGCCGCTGCCAAGATAGTACTCTAAGTGGCTCCATCAGCGATTCGTTTGCTTGTTGAAAAAAAAAACTGCGCAGATGAAGTTGGTTGCCTGCCCATTATATTTATTTGATTATATTATTTTTTTCGTCTGTCTGACTGGCTGATCGATTGACCGATTGATCGATTGGCTGATCTCAGCTGCCATTATTTGATTTGTACACTGCCCTCTTAATTATTTATGCCTAATACTAATTTTGCTTTTTTTTGTAGAGTTGCAAGCAGCACTATCGAAGAGAAATGTTTCAAATAAAAAGAACTGTGTTAATTAAATACGTTTTCAGTATCTTGAGCACTTTGAAAAGTCATATTTTATAACTCTGTTTTTGTTGCGCAAAACAAGTTGTCCTGAAGTTGTTGAAAATTTCATGTGATGGTTATTCGGTATAATGTTGTTTCTTTCGATGGAAGTTTAAGCATAACTTACAAACAGAACAAGCTATCTAAAATTTACAAGCTGGTCTGAACTACGCAGCATAGGTGAAATATAAAGAGACAGTTCAAAAGAGCACGACTGTCTGGCTAAACTATGAAGTTACCTTTTTAAGCAGTTCGATGCCCTCCTCATTCTGCTCGGCAGCACAGTCTTGAAGAATCTTCACTCTTGCCAAGATTTTCTCAGCCAGTGCGTCACTGCCAGCGTTTTCTCGAATAGCTTCCTCGATGAGTTTAGCCACATCTTCAGCTGCGAGAAAATTATGCTCAGAAATAAAAAAATTACGCGCGCTTGGTAATAAGTGTCTTAATCTTGTTTTACAAAAGTCACCACATTTGTATAGAATGCTGGAACGGCATGCTCTGGAGGGTTGTAACCAACAAAGAGTAAATTGAAACAGGCTTTCACGCATAATTGTTTTTAAATACGAAGCATTTTTTTGTGTCCTCTACGCACTTTGACTATCTATCTATCTATCTATCTATCTATCTATCTATCTATCTATCTATCTATCTATCTATCTATCTATCTATCTATCTATCTATCTATCCATCTATCTATCTGTCTATCTGTCTATCAAGTGCGTTTAGAATCATTTTGAAAGGCTTTCAACTGCACGTAAAAGCTCGCCACTTTTTGGAAGCACTTGTCCGTAATGCTGGAACATTTTGTCATGAAAATTGAGAAATAACATTATCAGTAATCTTCGCCCTTCATCCCCCTTTTATATGCCGATGAAACTTATCTATATATGCTGCCGCTGTTGGAAATGTATAAATTTCTAATCCACAAAGTTCGCTAAACATTATTCAACATTGGTTTTTGTGAATCTGAATCCGAAATTATATTACCATAGACAAAGTGACATTGAAAAATCCTTAAGGTAAGGAAGTTCTTTCAGACGTCGAGCTTTCGCGTATGCGTTCAGTTTGTCAATGGTGTTCAACCACAATAAAATTTACAAAACTCGAGAACGTTTAAACTTAAGTGCACCTAATGTAAGTGTCACAATTCGATATGTCATGGCTATGACCTCAGAGGACTCACAAATAAAGGGTGCCTTTGTATATTTATTTATGGTCTAGGAATGTCTCAACTTTTTTCATAAGATTTAATATAGTATTGTTGATCGTGCATAACTGATACAGTGGGCTAGCGGTTAGGATGCTGGTCTGTTGACCCAAAAGTTGTAGTATTGAATTCTGGCCATGGGATTGGTGCTTGGACAAAAAAATTCTAGAGGGCCTTAGGCTTAGGTTTTGGTGCATGGTAAATCACCCAAGGTGGTCTAAATTTGCGGAATCCTTCACTGCAGTGTTTTCCATATTTGCATAATTTCGGATGTTAAAACACAAGAAGTAATATTCTTTTTCCAGCTGGTAGATTGAGCAAGCTAGCCTGAATTTTTGTTTAATAATATTTGCCTAATTAGTCACTTCACAGCACAAATGCTTTCAAAATCTTTTGTTTTAGCACTTTGTTTTAATCGGCGCTAATTTGCAAACTCAAAAAGTGGAAACCACGCAAAAGTGCAAGAGTTCTAGTCACAGGAAATATTTTATGGCAGATTGTTACATATACCTTGCCAGCGCTTATTTTATAAGTGGTATTGATGAATATGAAAATCTTGTCAATGTGAGCGCGTTTGCCTATGCAGTTTATAAACTTTTTTTCAACTCACAACAGAAGAATCCCCATGTGTTTCAGAGCATGACACAGTCTTCTGTTCTCAAATTATTTTAAATCTTCCATTGTACCTCGTGTTTTATTCCCTGTAAAAGAGCTCTTGTAATTAGGCGATAATTTTTATAGCATGCTTGTTGAAAGTATCTAAAGTAAACCTTACCTGCTATTAATCGCACGTGAACTCACCTTCGTCGGCGGCTACCAGGCACACAAAGCCTAGGCAAAGACACAGCAGGAAACCCGTTTTCATCGTGCAGCTGTGCTTACGTTTAACTAGTAGACGATATCAACACGAAGGTGGCGTATCCAGTCGCAGCGAAATCCAGACGTGTCGAACTGGAACCGACGCGGTATCTTATATACTACCGGTGTGCATCACCAGGTCATCAGCTAGATGACGCTGGTGTCCTCGCGTAGCGGCCTAACCCACCTAGCAAGCGTGTTTATAAAAAACTACGAGGCGGAAACGACTCTTGCCGTGAGCGAGAGAGCATTCGAAAATCAAGAATCAAGAAGATTCGAAGATTAGAAGGGAAACCGTCAAGGTCTACAATAATGGGGCGTCAACTCGACTTTTTTGTTTTAGTTCAACCGCGAAAGGAAGTTCGTCGCGCAAGGTGGCACTTCTTGATAGTCGTTCACGCACTGCTATGCATGGAAAAACCAGTTTGCCTAATGCCTTCCTGATAGAAGGCGTCTGATCTTTCAAGTCGGTACTGAACAGCCCTTCACTAAGATGCGCATCTCTCAGAAAGGCGTTGGTTTTTTTTTTTTACTTGTACATTTAAAAAATGAGTTGTCAGCCGTGACCGACATATGAAGTGACGAGGAAGTTTTCTAAGCGTCAATTATTTTTCAGAATGCTTGTCTAGAACATAAAATATATTAGGGAACTGCATGCGGTGTGTATTAGCGCATGCAATGATCGTTCAATTGACATACTTAAGGAATATGATTTGGTCACAGTGCTATTAGGTTGGGAAGGGAGAAGGATAAAAAGAGGGGGACCTATTTTAAGAGGGTGGTAAACTGTTCTGAAGAAACTGCCAGTCAAGGCGTTAGTTTAAGTTGTCAGATGGAAACTCATTTGGCAATCTATAACTAAGACATGGAATGAAAGCCACTTGGCTTCAATACTTTCGTACGCGTGTTCAGTGTGGCGGTAAAAAAAATGTCCCAATGCTGCCGTGAAGATGACATTGAAAGGCTGAACTACTATTTTTCATGTGCCTTTCCTCTTTCTGTTGTGCTTCTGGGCTATATTCATCGGATTGCACAAGCAGGAAAACGACTGTGCCATTCAGCACATTACACCATGAACAAACATGTAAAATGGTCAGTCAGAGTAAAGTGCCTTTGTGTTCATGTCACATAGCGTTGCCAATACGCTTCTCTCGTACAACCCTCTCGGATCCTTCTGTACGCTGTCACTTACTGATGCATACGACTGACTTACGTCGTCTTGCCCGAGCATACGGGATGTTTCAAACACACACACACACACACACACACACACACACACACACACACACACACACACACACGCACGCACGCACGCACGCACACGCACAGACAGTTCTTTAGTAGCCTTCGTAATTTGTAAAGCTAAGCATTTCTTTGCCTACTGAAAGGTCTTTATCTATCTATCTATCTATCTATCTATCTATCTATCTATCTATCTATCTATCTATCTATCTATCTATCTATCTATCTATCTATCTATCTATCTATCTATCTGTCTGTCTGTCTGTCTGCCTGTCTATCTATCTATCTATCTATCTATCTATCTATCTATCTATCTATCTATCTATCTATCTATCTATCTATCTATCTATCTATCTATCTATCTATCTATCTATCTATCTATCTATCTGTTCATGCGTCAGTCCGTTCATTCGTTCATACATACATCCATCTAGCAGCCCACTTTGGGGTGTTCTCGTGATCAAGCACATAACTCGGCTTGAACCAAAATTTGTATGCGAGGGTAAGATAGTTTCGCAAATATGACGCGCTGGTCAAGACATCAATGTTGTCACAATGCCGTCGCATACGTAGTCAAGCACTCCCCTCAGGCATGGCACATTATCGCGGGTAGGTATGTGCCACTGGTGTGTGGTAACTTGCCACTGGTGATTGACACACAGCATTTGCCCAGGAACAACGAGAACACACATGGCCAATTTTAACACGTGATCATTAAGAAATACCTGTTATCGGCAGCGTTGACCCAGCGATTGTAAAGAACAAATCTCAGGGTCCACGCAGGAAACGAACCCAAGCATTCTGCGTGGCGATCAAGAAGTATACCACAGCGCCACGCCAGCTCGCTGATTGATTGCTTTGATATGTGTGGCTTAACGTCCCAAACCCCCGTCCGTGTGATTATGAGAGACGCCGTAGTTGAGGGCTGCAGAAATTTCTGCCACCTGGGGTTCTTCAACGTGCACTCAAATCTGAGCACGTGGGACTACAGCATTTTCACCTCCATTGAAAATGCAGCCGCCGCCGGCGGAATCTGATCCTGCGACCCACAGGTCAGCAGCCGAAGAACTTAACCACTAGACCACCGCGGCCGAGACGCCAGCTCTCGAAAGTATTCTTGAAATGGACCCCAATGTTCGTCAAACGTCAATTGTGGTGGCACTGATGGCTATCCATTTTTATAAACATTACACATGTACTTACAGCCATCACGTCGGGTTAACGTCAATCGTAGTTAGACGCTATGCGCTGAAGCTGATTTTTGTAGATGTGTCTAGGGCAGCAACTTTCACGAGAGCCGGCACTTCATATCCGCTTATCGCTTGTGGTACTGCTAGTACTGATGTCCCTGTTGGCATTGCTGCGTATCTGCAAACAATTGGTTGTAAATCACGTGGAACATTGATAGAAATATTTAGGGTGATATCATGACCCGTCGCTTCATAAAAAACTACAGTATGGCTACCTTCCCTCCACATTCTTCATCGTCATCATCATCGCCATCAGCCTGACTACGACCACAGCAGGACAAAGGCCTCTCCCATGTTCTGTCAGTGAACTCATGCTTCGTATGACGTCGATTCCCAAAGTGCGTGGGATGTGCCAAATTTCTATGTGGCGACTCCATAAAAGACAAGGTGACCACTGGCCATAACGAGATTTAGACTGGATTCTGAAAAGAAGCCTTCGCGCTAGATGGGGCCAGGAACTTAGAATATAAGTAGGAGTGCGAGAATAACATGCCCCCGAAAAGCAGAAGACTATATATATATATATATATATATATATATATATATATATATATATATAGAGAGAGAGAGAGAGAGAGAGAGAGAGAGAGAGAGAGTATCAAGTTCACTTGAAATGTCATTGATCTTATCAGCGTAATTTGGCACCACCAGGTAACTCTTTCTTCTTGTGGAAGTAGGATTGGCCTTGTGTGCACCGCGAATAGAAAGTAGTTCCACATCTACGTCCATGTTATTCCTTCATAGTACTATCACTGCTGGACGTCTCAGCCCAACAAGTAATTCTGGGCAATTATCTACTTCAGTGGGTGGCACTTTATTAGGACAACTACAAAGGCGGGAAAGCTTTATGATTGCAAATGAAGCGCAACATATGACCGCATGAACACTTTCACACAACTTTCAGGAGAGCACATTTCAATTCAAACACTAAGCTATTTTTGAAATATATTTATTATAATCCAATTCAAGTAATTAGCAGCATCTAAATAAATAAAAAAGAAGATATGAAGACTTCGTTTGGGTTAAAATGATTTCATAAGAGTAATGTCAAGAAAAGTAATGTGAAGTAATATATGCAAAACCTTGCAAACTTTTCTGTAGTGACAGATCTTGCACGACACTTTGAAATGATCATCCACAAACTTCGACTGGAACTAGCAGACACAAAGAGCTTCTTACACAAAATACAACAATAGAACCCATTGCCACTGTGATAATGCAGATGAAAATGTTTGCCATATTCTTTTGGAGTGTGTACAGCACACAAATGAAAGAGAAAAATCAAGGAAGAAGGTAGCCACTTTGAGCATATGGCCTTTCATAAAAATGAAGTTACTCTGGCCATGGCCTGAGACGTACCTTCGTGACAGACTTCCCAGTGGAGACCGAACTGGATAAGCGCTTGGGATATACAGCAGGGGTGGGGATATTAGAAATGATGTTTTAGTGCATATACTGGGAGCAGAAATAGAAAGGTGTGCGTGTGAACATTTTATGACAGTGTGAATAGCTGCAAGCAAACTGTTCATTGACGTTTTGTGTCAACTGGTCTCAGTGTGTTATTATGTTTTTTTCCTGATGATTGTTCATTTTGGGTACCATTCATTCAGTTTTTTTTTATTTCGCTGCTGTACTTATTGATGTGGAGTAGCCGATGTAATTTGGACCTCAAACTCTCCATAACAAAACAGATACAATAGAACAGAATAAAACGCCGAAATTTGTCTTTAACAGACAGTCTTGTTGTTTTTGTTTGTTTGATTTGTCATTATGCTGAATGCTTCGGTGTCTGCAAACCTTTGACAATACAGACGTGCATATGAAATGCAACAGATAACTGCCGCAACACTTTTACATAACTTGCATTGCAATGATGCTGAATGTCAGGTCTTTATTAATGTACCACGTGGTATATGTCCTGAGTAAGTTTTCAACGTAAATAACCATTATTAAAGCAAAACAGTGTTAACATGCCATTTGCAGCCTGTAGCTGCAGCGGGTTCATACCAATTCTTCACATAAAAAGCGTCCAAAGTACGAGAGATTCGCACTGGCCCAGAATGCGAAACTGGGATCAATACTTTTGCGAGATGGTGGTTTGAACACTTCAGCTAATTATAATGTTAATGAAGCACTGAACAACTGGGCGTTAACAGCCGACACAAGACACTGCATGTAAAAACACTGGTCCACCTTGAGAGTGTCCGCAGCATCACTTCACCTCGTAGTACCAGACAGTATTTGTTATAATGATCCGCACAATCTGGAACACAGTATACGGAAAACTAGCCATGGCCCTCCGAGATTTCGCCTTACCCAAATGGCATCGAAGGCGTCCGTTCCCTCTTTGGTGAAAGGTACTGTTCCTAGCAGCAAAAGATAAAGCGACTCCAACTCAAAAATTTGTGATTGGTTGAAGCAAGCGTGGTGATAAACAGGCTTCTACAAGATAGCCTCAGTCCGGGAATGTGCTTGCAGATGGAGTACATATAATTTTGATGTGAATATGACATTCCTGAAACAAAACGCAAGGTTGTAGAATCTGACATCCCCCGCCGCTGTAGTCTAGTGGCTGAGGTACTCGGCTGCTGAACCGCAGGTCGTGGGATAGAATCCCGACTGA